GATGAAAATTACAGGCCTCTCTCATCTTTTTAAGTGGGAGAACTTGCACAATTGGTGGCTGACTAAATACTTTTTTGCCCCACTGTATCTGGAAATGTGTTGGTTCATGGCTCAAATCAGTTGGGCCTTATATTATTTGGTCAGGAAGGGCTCTCTCCCCTGTTGTTCATTGTTGATCAAAGGACACTTCATTCTGTGTCCAGTATGGAGAAATATACAGATTGTAAGACATACAGCCTTATATTGCATGACTTCTTTAGAGAATAATAAGATTCTGCTACTTCAGAGACTGTATTATCATCACTGAGATTTTTCTATATTTAATTAAAGTAACATTTTTATATTGTTGCTTGATTAGTTTGTGCTTAATAAAAATTAAAATGCAGTCTAAATAAGATACTACTACTATTCATTTTTAGGCATCTACTCAGGGGAGAAAAGCTATATCAGAAGCAGAGTCCAGAATCTTCTGGTTAGGATTAATCACGTGTCCGTTGCTCTGGGTGATTTTTGCCTTCAGTGCCCTATTTTCCTTCAAAGTTAAATGGCTGGTGAGTAAAATGTTTGGTTACTTCCTACTAAGCTCATTCTTGGGGCACAGTGAGGCCCTGATTCTCACATGTTTCCCTTTTACAGGCAGTGGTGATTATGGGTGTGGCATTGCAAGGAGCCAATCTTTATGGTTATATTCGGTGCAAAGTGGGTAGCAGGAAGAACCTGACTAGTGCAGCAACTTTCTACTTGGGAAGGCAGTTCCTGCGGCAGGTACTTCTGATTTTATTTATGCAATCATGTGTTCCTTTCCCAGCATTTGTCTTGGTACTTACCTAATTTTGCATTCCCTGATTTTGCAACTTTTCATAGGCCTAGAGAGTAAAAGAATTCAAGATCCAACACTAGCCTTTTCAAATTCTGTTACAACTGAGATGGGATGCTTGTTTCAGTTGTAGGTATTATAGCTCTGTCTTGGCCTGTTGAGGAAGGATGCCACATAAGCTTTCAGAGTGCTCTCTCCTGTAGTTGAACACACATGACTTATCTTTGAGAAATATGACTTGAGGGTCTGTAGCTTCAGAATGACCTTCATGACTTTAATGACCTTACCTGCCCCTTTTAACCATCTCCAGAGACACTGTTTAGGTAGTACTACCTCCTTGAAAAAAAACTCTACAAGAGGATACTAACAATATCCACAGTCATTCATGCCCTTGTCATCTCCCATATAGACTATTGCAGTGCGCTCTACATGGGGCTACCCTTGAAGAGTATCTGGAAGTTACAGCTGGTTCAGAATGTGGCCGCGCAGGCAATTTTGGGTGCCCCAAGGATGGCACATGTAACACCTTTACTGTTGGAGCTGCATTGGGTGCCAGTTTGCTTCCAGGTCCAATTCAAGGTGTTGGTCATTACCTTTAAAGCCTTACATGGCATGGGACCAGGTTACCTGAGGGACTGTCTCATCCCCATTATATCAACCCATCCCACCCCGTCAGGCAGAGAAGGTATGTTGCAGACCCCGTCCATGAAAGAATGTCGACTGGCGGGGCCCAGGAAGAGAGCCTTCTCTGTTATTGCCCCCATCCTATGAAACACTCTCCCCCCAGAGGTGAGGCAGGCCCCCACTCTCCTCGCCTTCTGGAAAGGGGTGAAGACCTGGCTCTGCCAACTCGTGTGGAGTGGGAGGAGGGTAACCAACCCTGGGTGTGGCTAGCACCCTGAAGAGGCTCCCATAAACTGATAACTTTTTATTTACCATCTATCCTTTGGACTACATTATTTATTTAGGAACACTTTTTATTGTATTTTAATTAGTTTTATTGTATTTTAATTAGTATTTATTCTTGTTTTTATTGTAAACTGCCCAGAGTCACTCTTTGAGTGAGGTGGGCGGTGACTAAATTTGAAATATATATAAATAAATAAATAAATAAATAAATAAATAAATAAAAACACTTGCTTTGTTAATGGCCTTTTCCAGGCAAAGGTCTAGTCATTGTGTCCCAGATAATATTTTTTCCAGAGCTGGGGCAAGTTCAGCTTCCTAGATGATTTTTTAAAGAGTTTGACTGCTGTCAGCATAGTCCTGATCTAATGCTACTTTATTTTCTTTTGCAGACCACATCCAAAGAGGACCAAGCAGTATCTTGAAGTTCATGAAGAAACACCAGCTGCCATTTTCATTCCTTCTGGAGAATGAAAAAACTATTTCTTGGCCTCTGTACAGTAAATTTATAATCTGCGTATTGATTTTTGTAATTAAACATATCTTATAGAAGTGTTAATTGTTATCATTTCTTACAACTTATATTTACAGAGCCCTTCTTGACCTAACTGGCTGCTGGACTCTTTAATTATAATTCTCCACTTAGAATTAAGTAAAAAAATTGTGATGGCATACAGTGACTGTTCATGACACTGCGTTAGGGAAATATCCAGAACTGTCCGCAGGAATTTTGCAGTCACATATTGTAGTCTCAAAACCAGCTTGTTCAAGAAGTCTCATGATAAGGGCTTGAGCAATCTGTCATCATGTGAGAACTGTGGAGTGTAACTTTTAATACAAGACTTAAAGTATCTACATTATTGCAAGATCATTTTTTTAAAGCAAGTGTTTTAGGTCTTAATATGGGAAACAGAAAACAACAGTTGGATAATTTCAGCTAGAGGTCAGGAATTGAAAGGAGTTCCAGTTGAAAGTTGAAAGGAGTTCCAGGAATTGAAAGGTTTCCATTTCACAACCAGAATAGAAAAACCCTGATGCCAGTTTACTGGCAAAACTTAACTTTCCTGTTTTGTTTTGTTTTTGACCTGAGCTTTCTTGGTTATTTAGATTTCCTGAGAAGCAAGGGCAAGGTCCCTTTAGTTTACTTTCTGAGTAAGAGAGAATTCTCACATTGCAACTATGGTAGCCTACAAGGATGTAGATTTCAGTTCATAGCACCCTGTAGACAGAAGAAGGATTTGAGCCTGCCTCATTCTTCCTTTTGTGCCACTTACAAAGTGGATTATTGGTATTATAGAAGAACTGTTCTGAAGTTGCTAGTGCCATGAACTCTTAATAAACCCAAACAAGCAATTTCAGAATTAACTGGTGAAATAAGAGATAGGGCTATTTTTAACTAGGGGCTCATCTGAATGATAAAATCAGTCCAAGTCACCCATTGGAATAATCCAACCCATTTGTAAACAGTTCTTTGCAAATGTAAGCAAACCTTCAGTGAGTTCAGGCTCTACTAAGAATGTAGATTTCTGCAAATTGTTACTTTACCATTTTTCTTCTCCCTGTGCTGATTTGTGAGTTTCATGCACAGGGCCTAGCTTGTAATACTGTACTATAGGTAGCTGGGCTGCTTTTCAAAATCAGAATTAAAATTTATTCAGTTACTACTGATTACTGGGTGGGCATCCAATTATTCATTTTGAACATGATCAATTTGTGTATTTCTCAAGATGTTTAAACAGGAGTTAAAGCTGTGTTACAGTTACTGTTCAGGTAGTTTATAAGATAAGCTTAGGGAAGAAGTATTGATTATAAACAAACTTAATATAATAAGCCTAATGGTGGTTTATTGTTAATTTTTAAAAGGAAAAGTGTTTGGCAAGTTTCTACATGAGTGCTGATAGTTAACATTCATATTTGGATATAAAATGTAAAGGTTCTTGAAATACAAAAATAATGTATTTAAAATCTCTGATTTGCATTGTGCATGTTTGTGAACCTTTCAAATTAACTTGTTTTCCAAAGAAATATATTTTTATAAATCTGTGAAATTCTGAATTGGTTTGAATTTAGTCTCATACTAGACAACCTGTGACCTGTTGGGTCACCGTTTCAGAGATATTTCCTTACCTAAACAGAGAAACAGAATGACAACGGGCAAAAAAGCAGTGGAAGTGTGAGCGATTTGCGACTTGCTGCCGGCTTCCCCATTGACTTTGCTTCTGGGAAGCTGGCAGGGAGTGTCAGAAATTTTCCCTTCCCTTCCCTTCCCTTCCCTTCCCTTCCCTTCCCTTCCCTTCCCTTCCCATCTTGTCCCATCCCATCCCTTCCTTTACTTATTTACTTACTTAGTTGCCACATAATATAGGCTTGTGCCATTTGCCCTCCCTCACAACTCTCAGGAGAGCCCTAGCGAAGCCGCCGCCGCCTGCTCCTTGGCTGACCCATGGAACTGCCTGCCACTTTGCTGTGGGGAGGTAGAACAAAGGGAGCCACAGACTGCGAGGAAAGCTGCACCCTGTTCCCCATTCTGGCATGACCCCAAGGGCCCCCTCCCTCGAGGGAGGAAGAGGGCTCACCCATCAATCACTGGTGTCCCCCAGCCAGCCCTACCTCACCAGCAAGCATCCAAGTCACTCCCTCCTTCCTTCAACACCCACTGCCATTAAGAGATTTTAAATTTCTGCCTCATTTCCAAAGCAGCTACTTTGGAACTTTGCCACTTGCCTGTCAGGCCTTGCCACCAGCCGGTTGGGTGCAAGGGACAGGGAGATGGGAAAGAGGTCAGGGATAGGCCCATGATGATCATGTGACCTGGGATGACTGCGGCAGCAGTCACAAATGAAATTTTCACAAATTTCAATTCCACAGGAGTCATGGGTCCTGGATTTTGGATGCTTTCTGCAAGTTCGTTCATTTGAGTACCTTGGTTCAAAAGTTGCCCTATGATGTACCGTTTTGCCCAGTTGAAGGTTACAGACACGAGAGTTTTAGTAGTTTATGCATAATCATCACTCTTTATATCTTCCTTGCCTTTTTGAGTTTTGCCAGTTTCCATTTTCACAACTGTATTCTCTGCAAAACAGATCCAGTAGTTTCAGCGATGCTCACGTCTACTTTTAAGTGCATTATTGATAATCTTCCTAATCAACTTGAGCTTTATCCCCTCAGCTGGACACTGCAGCCATCTAATTGAGCACTTTTTTGTTGGCTGCTGGCATTTCTTAGTGATGTAGCCTAGGTCACCCAAACAGTGAACGCTGGTGTAAATGACTTTTAAGATTCCAACTTCAGTTTTCAATAACTATATTCTAATACATTTTATTATTATCTGAAATGAGTCACAACAGATTGAATATCATAAAAACAATGTTCATACCATTACAAATTTAATGATTTTATCAAGGAAATCGTTCCACACATTTAACAGAGAGAGTAAGTTAGTGTTATGGCTACATGGGTGAATCAGACCACCTTTGAGGTGTTTTGTTTTTGCTTATATCAACAGTATGCAAGCTTTAAATTAACAACACATACAAGCTGCTATTCTTGAGATACTTCCAACTTTGCAAGTTTTTTGCTTTTCATTTTTCCTGTCATATCTTCTCATTCACAGTTCTTTCTGATCTTTGCATCTCTAAACTTCCATATGATTTCTCCTTACTCTCCATTCCTCTATACAAAGTCATCTAATAAAATCAAGGAGCTTTTCATTGCTGGACCTTTCCCAGCAACATTTTTCACATAGCACATTGAATTACTGGCAAATTCCTCAATAGCTCTAAGAACTGAAGGACCATGGTGAATTAGACTATCATTCTATATTCCAACGCTGCCCATAATACTCTTCAAGCAAACGTGGGTAAATCTATCAAGTTGCTTTTTAAAGCTAATTAACCTTCCAGCCATATTGTATGCTAGCACATTGCGTAGATTAATTTGGTTTTGTGGAATGCTTTTTTCTGTCATGATTCTCCCACAATTTAGATTTATGGAATGAATCAATTCTTGTATTACAGGAAAAAACCTGAAGGTCTGCATATCTAAATTTACACTTCTATTATGTCTTCTCCCCAGCTAAGAGACACAGCCTAGCCAACTTTGGTTGATCTCAAAAAGTTAAGCAGAATCAGATCTAATTTTTAATTGCAAGGGAGACCCTCAGGAAGTAGCAGAGCTGTGGGCTAGATTGGGATACCAACAATAACAACAACAATATCCCCAATTTCTGCTTCCATTTTGTCGCCAAGAGAACTGCATGGACATATCCATGAAGTCACCTGGAGTCAAGTTTGAATTGGGTTTTTTCTTATTATCTCCTACTTTACCTTTTTTTCCTACGAAAAAAGCCTTGAGCACTGTCACCTTCCTTTTCAGTGAACTGCTCCAGTCCCTCGATCTTTTTCTGCACCTTTGCCATCTCTGCAATAATCTCTTTGACAGAGAGAGGCCAGAGCTTCATGCACAGAATTCCAAATACGATTGCAACAGGAACGTATATCAAGGCATTACAAAATGAGCAGTTTTGTTTAAAGGGCCTTTCCTACTTGGAAAGTAGAAGGCAAAGCTGCACTTCAAAATTCCTTATTTTCAGCTGTAATTGTTGCCTTTCTGTAGTTCTTACTTTGGGTAATTTTCCAAGATTAGCATGTGTTTGTGCTTCCTGTCCACAGACCTATTGCCTTCCCTGTGGTTCACCAACTTTCCACTAATGAAGGGTAGCATTTTTCATTCTGGTTGTTTCTAGATGCACATTTTAATGTGGAATGTGTATGCTTCCCTCAGTAATTTGATGAAGCATCCAGATAGCTTTATTCCTCTGTCAATATCCCAGAACTCCCTCTTATTTCTGTATTGGGATAACCTGTTCAGGCGGAAAGCCCTGAAACAGAAGCACTCATGTCCAAAAGGATGGCTGGGCCACAGATCTCTCTTTTCATAAGATACTGGGTGGGGTTAGGAAATTAATGTCAGCAGTGACACCATGACCTGCTGCCCTGATCTCTTCTCTGAGAACCCAAGTTGTTTTAAATATGTGTGCAAGTGTTTCGCAACATTTAAATGGCTTTGTTAACACTTTGAATTTCAAAATATTGAAACAACATTTGGGAAATAAGGTTGTAGCTGTTCTGTTCACTTTCAGGATCATTTCTTTTATATGCATAGAGGTGGAATATCTGTCTGCAAATGAGCATTTAAAAATGCATTCCAGTATGCCTGTGTAACTGCACGTTCTGAACAAAGGAAATCGGTGTGTGAAAACCTCCAAATGATTTTTTCTCTAACACAAAGGAATTTTCTCTAATCAATCCCAGCCAGCATGGCCAGTGACAAGGGACTGTGGAAGTTGTAGTTCAAAGTATCTAGATCAGTGTTTCTCAACCTCAGCAACTTTAAGATGTGTGGACTTCAACTGGGGCCAGCTGGGGAATTCTGAGAGTTGAAGTCCATACATCTTAAAGTTGCTGAGGTTGAGAAACACTGATCTAGAGGGTATCAGGTTGCCAGAGTATCCCTACTATAGTCTGTTCTCAGAGTATATCTACCTGCTAGATTCACAGTAGTCAAACTCTACTGATTTGGCTTTTCCCTAACATTTCTTAAGAACTGTAGTTTGATTAGCGTGCTGAGAATTCTCTGTTGGAGAGAAGCCGTAATTTTGTGGTAAAGCAGATGCTTAAACATAAAGTCTAGATCTTCAGTTTGTGATATTCTACCTAGGATGGGGGAAAGAAACTTAGAATGTTTGCATCCCATGTCTTGCTGTAACCTAGACTTTGAAAAATGGGTGGCTGGGAACAAGAGAGTTTGTTTCCAATCACCTGCCTTAGATGTTTGTAGAACCCCACAGAGCCATACACCTTCTTAAGGAGGAAAGATGGCCAGCCCTGGAAGCCTGCCATGAAGTGCTACCAGCTGCCCCTCCCCAAAATAAGGAACAAACCCTATTGCCACTGGCTGCTGAAGATATGGAATCCTGGACTGGCCTCAGGCGAGAAGTAGCAGAAAAGCTGGTGCTTGAGAATGAAATGGCTGATTAAATTAATTTAAGTGAACATAGTTTTTAAGAGATGGAACTGCACGCTGGCAGGTTTGCCCTGAAACCTTGAGGTGTTTAAACAGTTGTCAATTACTGTATAAATATATGTTTACGTTCCATTTAAGAATGACATGAATTAAGTTGATACCACTCCAGTGAAATTGATGTCAGATTGGCAAACTCCTTCCCTGATGGGGTTGAAGCTGCTAAACTTAGATTAAATATTGGGGAATTTGTGTGCCAAATAATGTATAACAACAACATGACCATAATTGTTATTGTTATATTGTGTTATGTGAGAGGAAAGAGTACCAGCAGCTGTTTTGCTTTTGACAGTACGGACACCCAAAGTATAGACCCACACATTCCTATAGATTTTAGCTGTCCTTAGTACTGTATATGTTCACAGATAAGCCGAGAATTTTAAGTGCTTAAATATACCCTAAAAGTCGGGTTCAGCTTATCTGTGGATGGGCTTATCCATGAGCATATATGGTAAGTAGTGTAATCTTCTGAATGCCACAAGTCTGGTGGGAAGGGCTTTAGTTGAGTGTGGTTGTCTTTCCTTTGTTTTAGTTGTATTTCCTTAAGGTCTTCAAATATCTCTTGGGAGTACATTTTTTTTTCCCAG